TTTTAAATGACTGGTCTAGCTTCTGTGTATTATGAAATTCGAAATATTTCAGTCCTCTGACAAATTTATAATACGCATATAACACAAAAGGAAGAAAAATAATGACAGTTAAGGTTTATATATGTTAAAAAAGAAATAAGAATTAGGAAAGGAATGGAGGTTTACAGATATACAAAAATGAAGCCATTCCGTCAGCCATATTAAAGGCTTTTTAGTTGTTTTTTTTTCTGATTCTTTTCAGTAAATAACCAGCATACCGAAGACATCTTCAATCCACAGATGAAACGTTACATGTGTAACTAAAGTTTGTTTTGTCGAATTCGGCACTATTCTTTTGAATTTGTGGTGATTTATTCCATTTTATACTGTTAATGTTTTACCGCCTATGTTTTATGTAATCCACAAATGATATACAAAGTTAGAGAAAGTAGTGGTTAGAGAAACTGTACTGAATTCAGTTAAATGTTCAGTTATTTGTTTAACGCGTATCCTGTATAGTATTCAGCGGCGAATACGATTAGACTAACTGATCAAATATTTTTATATGTCAAAATTTCGGCTTTGAACAGCACTACTTTTTCCTTTTTAACACAGAATATCAAGTTGTATGAATCTTATGAACAGTGATACAACTTAACATATTTTGTTATAATCCATCTAAAAACTGAAACTTCTGAGTTTGTTTGTAAGATAGTTTCACTTCTAAAAGAAGTAAATATAAGTTGTATTCACATTAGATCAGGTGATTCATCGTGTGAAATTCAACATTGTAAAATTCTGGAAATAACATTATTTTAAAACTGAACATCAGGTGTGTTGGATATTACTTTAGGAGACCATATAACAAAGGGAAGCAGAAAGATTTGACCGCTACTGAGACACAACTTACATTTAATGTATCTAAGTACAGTTGTGATCAGCGTTATCAAAGTAACCATTCTGAAGCCAATTAAGTGACTTTTTAACAGTAAAGACAAAGTATGTCAACAAGTTTCAACTTTTCTGCTTGCCACTGTGACATCATATGCCCTGACATTACGCACCATAATGAATATAACTTTATGAAATATAATGCGTGAAGAACTGAAGGTGGAATATTATGAATGTTTTTGTTGTTAAAATTGTCGTAAACCATAAAACTTTAGAAATCAGGTTAAGCCTCTAGGTCAGTATTCCACTTTACAGATCATTCTGACGACCTGCTTAAATCACTGTTACCCATATTTTTTCCATACATCAGTGTGTGTTATATTCACTGCATTTCACACTGTTTTAACAACTCAACTACTTTCATGAATTGGGAACTACTGTCATGAGCATTTTCAAAAACATTTCAAACTAATGGAGGAAAAACTTCATCAAGGAGTGAAGCAAGTTCTAGATGAGAAAATATTGCTTCAAGTGGTGCGCTATCGGTCATTATATTACTTGAAGTTCTGGTATAAGGAGTAAATACCTTGCAATAAAAAGAGCTAAAAGCCCTGTGCGTTGGTGGCACAGTGGTTAGGACTCTCGCCAACCATGCACATGGTCCGGGGTTCGAGCCCACACCGACGCACACCTGATATCAATGGTCGGCCTTGGAAATTTGGGCTACCGATATCCATGCTGAAAATTCCATACCTGTACCAAAAATACAGTGTGGAATCAAGCTATAATCAAAAATAAAATAAATAAAACGAAAATTTCAGAACCAAGCTGTTACTATTATCGTTAATATCTTTTTTCGTGTGTTGAAGTTTCTCTAGGGCTTTGAAAGGCTTGGTGGTGTGTGGTTGCTGGCTCTACGCTGAACCCTACCTCTTTACCCGGGCTTCGGACCGGCTGGAAAACTAGCAAGCTAGTAAACTAGGTAAGGCCAGAATGATAAGGTAACAAGAAAATGTGGGTACAAAGCAACCAAGAGCCGATCGCTCAACAAATATTTAGGAGAAAATTGAGATGAATCGAGATTACATTGAGAAGACCGTCGAATTACATCATGCGCCAGGCCCTCCAGTGGAATCCCAATGGTAAGCGACGGGCGGGTCATCCGCGCGAATGTGACATGGAGGGGATTTCGTGAGGAGGAAATGAGAAATTGTGGGCGATTGTGGTCCAAGCTGAAAAGGATTGCAGAAGATAGGACAAAGTAAAGATGTGTAGTTGAAGCCTACAGACTACAAAGCTACACATCAAATATCAAAATGCCTCTTTCCGCGTTTTTTGCATAGATGTAGAGCCTTCATTATTAATAAAAGTTTGCTGTACACACCAGTCAGTGGTACGACCATCCATGTGCTGACAACAAATTGCATTAGTCTTCCAGTTTCTATTCTTTTTATTTACGCCCTATTAAAATAATTTTCGTGACAATGTTAGACACACCAGTTTTAATGTTGTCAAAAATGCAACAGATCACGCATGATTAGAGCATTTAATAATTAGGTGGTATCGAAGATTACAAATAATTTTAATTTCAAAATCCAAATCCTAGAAGACTAACTGTGCCATAATTTGACTAAAACTCATGAATACAGATTTAAGTATATTTTTTTCATGAAGACAGATACACTAACAATACTGTTTGTGGTAATGGTAAAGTTCACTCTGAATCAATGCATAAAACAGCTCATATTGTTACTTGCTGTATCATAAGATTAAATTTCACCTAAGTATGCTAAATATCAATCCATCTTAGTAATACATATTGCCTATGCAATAAATTAGTAAACACAAGGATGTTATACAATAAGTCCATAAATTATTTAAACTTCATCGGAAACACTAATATTATGAGCTGTTGATTAATGTATGTGGATCTTTAAGGTAAATAATGACAAATGTTGAATTGAATAACATGTTTATATTGTTGATATGATACAAGGTTATACTAACAGAGATCAGTGTTAAATCAAATCAGTTATCCTTGTGTCGTAAAATCAATTACAAAAATATAATGGATAGTAAATATATATATATATTTTAAGTGGAAGCATTTGTAGGTCACTTCTAAAACTAGTAAGGAATGTATGATAGATTTTCGGTGAAAGATAGTCTTAAAGGCATTAAGGAACTTTTCATAACCATTAAATAATGTTTAATTTATCTGGGTCAATGTTGTGCACCGTTTAGATCAAGAAGAAAACATGTTTGATTGTAGTGTAATAAAAAACTGCACAAAAATAAGTCGGTCAGATTATTTTTCTCCGTTATCACTAATAATCTGGATTTGTTTTATAAGACAACTAATACCACCTGTATATGCAATTGAATAAGTACATATATACGAAAGGATCCCTTAAATGTTGGGATGAATAATATTCCTATCAGACATATTGTGTTATAAAATACTACATTAAAACACCACATTGTTTATAGTGATACGGCGTAGGCCTTCATTTTGCCGAAAGTTGTAGAAGTATGACATTCACATTCAAGTGGCGAAATATATAAGTAGTCGAATGAGATATATATGCTAAAACATGTTCACCAAGTATAGCATACAGTGTTACACAACTATTTATTAACTAATGATACCTACTCTGCGTAACTCTGACTTTTTATTATATAGTTCCTGTGCTGTTATTCCATGTCATTAAAAACTGACAAGTTCACTTAGACCTGAATGTGTCTTATTAGTTCAGAAGGGAAATGAGTTCCTTCAAGGTTGTAGATACGCCTTGCTAACGAGTGCTAACTAGCCAGAAACCTAGATCCAAGGCTCCTTGACGATTGCCTCCAATTATCTGCTATCATTAAATCTACTACTTTCTGAAATTGAAGTTTACCATTAATGTTCTTCTGTGTTTAGTGGAAACTAGCATGTCTTTGGTAAATGTAGGCTTCAAATAGAAAATTTAGTTGCCTAAAAATATTATTCATATGTAGCTAAAAAATAATCATGATTCTGATCTGTGGTACAATTTAACAATACAATTAAAGTATTTTTTTTATTCCCCACGTTCCAAGTGGAATAAAAGGGCTTCAAGCTAAAAACTCGAAGTCTCGGTAGCAGTGGTGTTTATTTTTACGGAACAGGGTTGCTAGCCTCATGCCCAACCTTCACTCTGTACAAGTCTTATTACTGGCTTAGCGAGGTAAAGGAGTGCGTCGGTGGCCGGGGATCGAACCCTGAAACACCTGCGTGGTTGGCGAGCATTCTACCACTGTGCCACCGACGCATCACAATTTAAGTATTAGAGTTAAAAAAGTTACTTCAGTTAACTGATTTCCTTTATTATTAAAATACATTCAAGAAGGATTGCGCTGTTCGTGAAGAACTACAAAACATTAACACTTGCATAAATTATCGTAAATGTAAGCTACTCATCATACCCAAATGTCAAAAAGTAAAAAGAAAAAACACTCAAATATTATCCCACCTTGTCAGTGATACGATTTCAAATGTAGCTGATGGTCAAACGATGGTTGGATAGTACCTGAAACTTATTAGCAAAATGACCATTTTTCATGGACTTTTCAGAACGAAATAGGTCGTTTGGTAATATCTGAATGAATGATAAGTGCAAAGATTTTGTGAAGTGAAATCTCAGTAAGGGAAACAAAAGGTATAAATAGTACTTAAAGTGCTCATTATGAGACAAAATCATTGACAGTGGGGCCGATAGCTTAGAATCCTAAGTTGAAATGGAGCATACTAATAAACAGCGAAACATAAGAGCGAATCACTAATGAGGAGCACACAAACCAGCCAAGAGTCGAAAAACACGAGATATAATTTCTGTTTGTCTTTCCGAGTTCGCGAATATGTTTAAATTATTCATTTTCTACTGTTGTTTAAACGTGCACAATAAATGTGCTTAGCATGAAACAACAAAGAGTTATTTCCGATTATAGATTTTTTGCATGGATATGAATTGGTTTCAGTGTAGATTTCGTCATTAACTAACACGACAGTTAAGGTTAGGGCTGGTTCGTGACAAAATCTACACTTAAACAGAAAATTAAACCAAAACCTTTACTTAGAAAGATTTAAATCGTAGAATAATTTTACTTACCGTGATCATTCAAGCAGTATTTCCCCATACTTCCAAAACTTGCTGTACTTATTTTATCTGTCGACATATGCGGTATGCTTGGATTGGAAGAGAGTGGATAATCATCATGTGAATTTGTTACACTTTTTGCATCTTTTTGCTCATCAGCTTCAATATTATATTTATTATAGTAATCATCCGATTTTAAGTAATGATGATGAAGAAGTGGAGGGAAGTTTAAATCCAAAATTTCATCTGAAAGCGTAACATGCTTCTCTAAACGTTTTGGCTTTTGTCTTAAAGAGGAAGTAATAGTAAACTGTTCTTCATCTGATCCTTCTTTAGCTCTGCTCACCTCAAATACACGTTTACTTTCTGATCCAGGAAGTTTAATCGACGAATGAGATGACGATATATTTGTTAGTGGAAATGTTCCACAAGTAGACTCAATAGTATTTTTAGGGTCATTTCCACTAGAAGATGTAGAATTATTAGCGGTGGTAATGTTCATATTTGTATTACATAATATATTGACTGATGTGATAATCTATCTCATTTAGATGTGCATTATTCAAGTTATAACTTAAATGGTTGCATTGTTGAGATATACTGTGTACTGTTTCCTTTCTCCTGAGGGTGTGGTTATAATCTCTTATGAATAGCATTGAAAGGAGTGTGTTACAAAGTAAACACTCGAAGATTAATCACGAAATTATCTTCCTCTAATATTATTGAAAAAAGATATTCATTTGATTGGTTGACATAAATTTATTCAATCAGATTTTTGAAATTGATTGCACTGATAAAAAAGAAATATTACTTGGATCCATCTATCAATCTTTATTCATATGTTTACCTGCTTTGGCGTACTTTGTCTCCTTCTTCTTCTTTCGTCTCACCTCTCTTTCTCTCCTTATAGTCTTCTTCCAATTTGACAAGCTTCCAATTCAATAAATAAGCATAAAACAGACAGACATATACTGCCTACAAGTCAAACCAGTTTCTTTGTAAAAAGAAAAAACCATTGTGAGAAAATGTGTGTGATTATGTTAAAGTCTTCTACTTCTTCTTCTTCTTCTTCTTTCCTCGTTCAGTTAACAGTACTTTACACTTCCTGATTCAAAATGCTTCTGTAATCAAGCGTTTTAATCATGCTAATTATTTTCTGGAATTGAAATGGCTCTTAAATGAAAAAAAAAGTTGAGTGAAAAGGTAGACACTTCGATAAATTATGAGAATTTTATGCTCAGCAAATCACATGATTCGAACATTGCAACTAGGCAATAATTAATGCTATGAATATAATTTGAAAGACAGAAGTATTCACACTAATCTAACACCTCTTCCGCTAACCTAGTCTATTTTTTTTTCTTAATGTTAGTTACCATATTTTGCATTATTTAATCCGCCTACAAATGAAATTTTTATGATAAAAACACGTTTTTATATACTTTCGAGTGCTGAATAAAGTGGGTTTTTAAGTCTGAAAAGCTCCCGTTTTGTAGTAGGGAGCGTTTGATAAATATAGAGAGAAGAATAAAAAAAAAGAGACTCTTCAAAAAGCTGAGTATTAGTCCATATTCTTGCGAAGAATTACTAACGCTAGTGATTGGTCCAAATTTTTGCTTAACGCAATGACATTTAAACTGCTCTCTGGAACTGAAGACATTTCCGATTGAGGTTACCCCAAAGAAATACTTATTTTTCAGTAGGAAGTGAATAATATTTTAAGTAAAATGAAATCTGTAAGATATGCATTTACCTTCAGTCTAAGACGAAATGTCAGAGTCCACATGTTACAGTGAGCTTGTTGCTTCATCTTGCTGTTGTTAGTCTAACTTGAAATGTTGTGGTTCGACACATATCAGCTGATCTCTAAAGTAACTAGACTTTACTTGGAGAATAATTTACTGCTTTCATATCACTGTACTTCATATATCTTCCTTAATTGTTTGTGGATTTGCGTTAATTTCAATTTCCGCAAGTTAAAGGGGTAATTATATTGAAATAATTGTTAGTGTGCATCTCTATATTTTTAAAAAATTATGAGATTTTGATGATCTGAGCGTATTACAACTTTAAATAAAAAATTTAAATGCTCCAAGAGACGCATCGTTGTTTCTGACACTTAGAAAAATATTTTGATAATAGGTGACATTTATACCTTGACCAATAGAGTCATAAGAATCACATTCTTTAACGCTATAAATTCACTTCGGTTGAACACAAAATCATATCTTCACTTTAATTTACTAGAGTTATGAAAATAAGCCATTGTAACATAATCTGCATTTTCAAAACAAAGTGGTAATCAGGTTTTCAAGGCCTTAAGAATGCACAGGTTGCTCTAAGGACGCGTATGAATATTTTCAGTTTTTCTATTCCATGATTCTGCCCAATTATTGTTATTACTGTTTCACTGAAAAAAAAACCTTTTCAAGATGTGACTTTCATAATTTAACTCATCAGAGGTATAAATCCTGTCATCCATTCTAAAATGCTGTGTTTTGCTTTATTGTTATGCATTTAAGTACACTATACTTTGCTTAAGTAAGCCTATTTTTTAGTTTACCATCTTGCACTAACTAACACCTGAACTATAATATGAATCTACATTTTATGTTTTCACGTCCACTGCACTTTTATTTATCTATTCAGTTTATTTGCATCACAGGTAAATCTAGTGTAGAATATGGAGAACATCATGCTGATCTTGAGACGTTATACATATGGCATGATTTAAAGCTTATAAAGTCAAACAAAAATTTAAGTATGGAGGATTTCACCATGAAATGACATTACTTAGAGAACCACTGGAAAACCTGGGAGTACTGGACAGCTATTTCGTCATAGTTTGGGACTCTTCAGCAGTACCTACCGACCGGGGTTCGAACCCAGGACCTTCTGGTTACAAGGCGAACTCGTTTACCAGATACTTGCCGAAGACATTGGCTAGGCTCGCGCTATGTCGTGAATCGGCAGAAGTTAGAATTCATGGGCCATTGGATCGGGTCCCAGTGGCTTTATTGTATACGAGCTCGCCTTTTAACCAGAATGTCCTGGCTTCAAACCCTGTGGTGTAGGTGCGTACTGCTGAAGAGTCCCAAACTAGGACGAAAGAGATGTCCAATAATCCAAGGTTTTCCAATGGTTCTCTAACCAATGTCAGCTCATGATGAAATCCTGTAATCAAACAAAAATGTTTGAAAGGTTTTTTTACCTAGAAATTTAATTTTTTTTTCATGCATTTCTCCACACATCTAGACACACTTCATTTGTTCGGCTAGTATTTTAGGTGATGAATCTCCTTAAATCCCTAATAAAAGGTTTTAAGCATTTCACTTCATGACTTCAATTATTAACCAAACTTTCGTGCTTACGCGTGAACACTTTATCTAACTGTTTTAACACCATTTCTTACGAACGATGCGTGACCATTCATTGATAATAAATACGAGATGTGTACATCAATATGTTTGTTTAAAAAATAGCTTCTTTTAGCTTCTCGTCTTTCCTTACAAGTTGAAGTTTACCAAGACGAGCATTACTGCTCTCAGGAATAGATAGTCAAAATTATTCATTCCAAAACTAAAGCACTGTACATTTACAAGTAAATCCTTTCATTTTATAAGTTTCTCCTGAAACAGTGTTTTGTCAATAGAATAAAGGGACCCCCTTTCACGGTGTGAGCCAAAAAATGTAGTGCAAAAGACTTTAATTATAATACCAAAGGAGACATTTGAGTGCCAATTCTTCCTTTAGATCTGCTAAGTTCCAAATTCTTTCTGATAGTAAAATTGTTTCTCATTGAAAGGTAAGTGACAGAATATCTTAGTAGAGTTAGAAATTCAAAAATTTCATCCAAAAATAAAATCCAACCGAAAAAGGAAAAACCTTTCTTTATGCTTATTTATAAAATCCGATGATATAAGCCAAAATGCATATGTAAATGTATTTTTGTTCTATTGTTCAGACGCTTAGGCTTTTAGAAGCTCAAAACATCCCGCTGTCTTTTTTAATTTACCAAAGTGGCACAGTGGTTTGGACTCTCGCCTACCAATCACATGGTCCTAGGTTCGATCCCCTGCCGACGCACACCTGATATCAATTGTCGGCCTGCGAAAATTCGGTCTATCGATATCACATGCTGAAAATTCCATACTTGTACCGAAAATACGGTGTGGGATCAAGCTGTAATCAAAAATCGAAAATTCTTATTTATTCCCCATTGTTGGACTTCCGAAAGTTCCACTTTTTATTAATTACCTAGAGTGTAAAATTGGCTACATTTCATCACTCAGTGCGAAAATGACAATAAGTTCAGCAAGCATGTCTTTTCAGCAGTTTCATACTCAAAGGCTGTAAAATCGTATATACATATATATATATATATATTTTTCTCAATAAACTTATCTGGATAACCATTTTTTCTAAGTAATTCTCTAATAATCTTAAGCTCCTCATTGAAGCAGTCGTCTGAACAGATTAACCTAGCTCTATGAACCAGACACTTTACCAGGTTGCGTTTATATTTCAAAGGTACAAAACTCAAAAAATGAGTGTACTGTCCTGTTGTAGTAGGTTTCCTGTACACACTCCTTCTTAGTGTGCCATCTTCTTTCCTTGCCATGAAGACGTCTAGGAATGAGATACAGTCATTAGTTTCTTTCTCTATAGTAAAGTTTATTGCTGAATGGGCATCATTAAACTTGTCAAGGATGTTCATTGCGTCGTCCTCGTTTTTTATGACCAGAAATGTATCATCCATATATCGACAGTAGAAATCCAAGTCACTAATTACTCCTTTCAGTGGTCCATTCTCTAACTTAGCGAGGAAAAAATCAGCTAGGATTGGGCCTAATGGGGAACCCATAGTCACACCATCAATTTGTCTGTAATATTCCTTATTGAATAAGAAATGAACGTTCATTGTACATCTTAAAATAAGTTCCTTCAAGGTGGATACAGAAATGCCGATGTCTATGTTTCGTGTAGTAATCTCCTCACATATAAAATCCACTGTCTCCATTAACGGTACATTGGTGAACAAGGAGGATACATCAAAAGATATCATAAACTTGTCCTTCACATTAAGATCTCTTATTTTTCCAACAAATTCAAAACTGCCATTTACGCTCTGTTTTACCAACTCATTATGCAGAGGTTTCAGGAGCTTGACTAACCATTTTGCTGTGGCATGGTATGGGGAATTACACATATCTAACACTGGTCGAAGTGGTAAACCAATTTTGTGCACTTTTGGAAGTCCATATAATCTTGGTGTAATTGTGCCAGTAGGCTTTAGAGATTCATATAAACCTTCTATATATATATATATATATATATATATAAGTTTATACAGTTGCAATTTATATTTAACTCACCCTAATAACGAAGGAAGATTAAAGGTAACAATAATTTTCAACTTGAAAAAAATGTAATCAATGAAAAAAAAACGAACGAAAACTAAGAGTTCAAACAGAATTAGATCCACGGCACATGTTGAGATAC